TTGATTGGTCAAACAAAGAGGCCTTACCAAAAAAAGCAAATAGCCACTCAACTTTAGAAGGATGAGTTAGGTAATGGACGTATGGTGCTCACCAAAAATTGTTTAGCGTGTGTGTATCAAGTTTCGTCATGGACATGGAGCATCACATCACATTATTCAGCTCTTGTGATAATTTTTATTTATTTATTTATTTATTTATTTATTTATATTGATTGTATGATAAAGTTAAATATTATTATCATTTTTAGTTTTATAAAATTTTGGACATAGTTTTTTGGATGTAATTGCATTTTTTAATCCTAAATTAATTTAAAAATAGTATTAACTTAAAATATCCTAGATACATAGTCACTTTTTGTGTGGGAATGAATTAACAATAGTCGGTGGACAAAATACGAGTTAATTATTCCTTCGTCCTATAAAATTCTTCCGGTTTGAAAAAAGGCATGCATTTAAAATGAGTAATTTTAAAGTTATATTCTAATTATGACTCATCCTACTCTATTACAGAATATAAAGTAAGAGTAAAATTAGAAAATAACACCAAAATTATTCATTTTAAAGGTGCATCTACTTAAAAAAAGGAAGGATTTAAAGGGATTTTAGTGAACGGAGTAATTTGCTATTGAGGCATCTTGGGTTACTAAAAATGGGTTACTAAAATCTAAGGGATTTATTAATGGGTTACTAAAAATGGGTTGCTAAAAAAGGCATGCGTTATTATTTTTTTTTAAAGGAAGGATTTAAAGGGATTTGAATGTGATGGACAAAAGTGGATGTGATGGATAGATTAATAATGAAAACATGTGATGTGACAGGTAGGTTAAGTTATTAGGGGTAAAAATAATTTTTTTAATAGAAATGAGAAAAGTTTAATAGGATGGATGAAAAGAAAAATGAGAAAAATTTTGTGGGATAGAGGGAGTATTAGTATTACACACGTGATCCTTCTTTACGAGTACCTTTTCACGGAAAATTTTTTGTTTGTCTTTCTGTCATTTTGTATTAAATTAAATACTAAAAATGTGTTTCAGATTGATCATATATCTTTTTTTTACAAATAATTTTTTTATTTTTGATCCTTCCCTAAAAGGCAATATGTTTTGCCAAAAAAAATCACATACCACACACATCTCCTAATTAGGAATCACAAGACACTTAAAACTATAGTGAGGGTCGAGATCCACAACAATTTAAAAAACAACTTATATTCCGTTCACCAAAATAGTTTCTAATTAAATCATTTACGTTGGAAAGAAAAGAGAAACAAATAAGTTTAATAATTTATTATATCAATACAATATAGATAGAGTATATTGTAATGACTTTATTTGGATATATTAGTTATTTTAATAAAAAAGTAAATATTTTGGAAAAAATAAAAAAAATGAAAGGAAAAAGATTTTAGTGAACGGAGGGAGTAATTTGTTACTGAGGCATCTTGGGTTGCTAAAAATGGGTTACTAAATGTTATTATAAGCAATCAAATAATGTTTTACAATTTTTACAATTTCTTAGCAATCTCTGAAATCATGACATGTACTTCTTCCTCTCTGAAAACCTTAATTTATTTTTCTTTTTTCATCCGTCTCAAAAAACCTTTTTACTTTTTTCTTAAAAAACACTTTTACCCTTAATAATTCTTAACTCATATCTCACATCATATCTATTCACTATTAATCAATCTATCACATTCTACTTTTACGTACCAATCACATCCAAGAACATTTCTAAAAAGTCAATACAAAAATACATTCATCTTAAATCTTTTAAAAGTCAAAACCAGAAATGTTTTTAGGACTAGAGAGAGTATATTATTGGAGCAGTTCTGTAGACACTCTACCACATTGCTCTCTTTGGAAACTAGATGGTTTCAACCCCTAACCCTCGTGCCTCTAGACTGCCAGTTGACTAGAAGAATTTTCTGTACCCAATGGAACCGCACCGCTAGAACTAATAACTTCTTGTAGTTCTATCTTTATTGGAGTATTTATCATATTTTTGTAATTAGTTGTAATTAGGCCCATGCTTTGTGTTTGGCCAAATGTATACACATTGAGCCATGTGCATAATGAAAATGTGAGGAGTTATTTTCTAAAATTCTACATGATATCAGAGCTTTCCTGAGAAGTCACGTAACCTTAGGATCGCCATTCTTCGGTGCACACGTCCAGCCTCCGTAGTTCGACAGAAAAGCCTATCTGGCAACCGTCTTTTGTGTTTCGTCGTCAATCCGCTGCAGTCCATCTTCAACGGTCAGTCTGCAGCTTTCCACCGCAGTTCGCAACCGTTTTTCTATTCGTAGTATATCATGTCGGCAAAGAAGGCACATCTCATTCACGATCCATCCACTATATATTATATTCATTTGTCTGAAGGTCCTGGTAATTATTTACCATGTGCTTCAATTCGTAGTGATAATTAATTATGATGTCTGAGAAAAAATTGTTCGTCATGCTCTTGGAGGTGGGGGTAAGGCAAATTCTTAAGAGTCTAATCATTCTATTATTTGAAATACATAGTTGGGTTTGTAACAGTGTGGACGAATCTATTCAGCGAAGTATTATTTATCATAAATTGCATTTCAATTATGGGATGATTTGAAAAAAAGATATGGTGGTTCTAATTGCCCGCGGATGTATCAATTAAAGTGTGAGTTGAACACTTATTTGCACCAAAAGAGACAGATTGTTGTTGCTTATTATAATCAGTTTATCACTCTCTGGAATTAACTCTACGGTTGTGAGGATCCGATCGGGCGGTGTACTACAATCTTAATAAGATTTATAAAATTTATGGCTTGATGAAGAGGACTTTTTTAGAGGGATGCAGTATCAAGTATTTGTAGTTTTTAGGACGACAAGATCTAAGACTTGCAGAATTTGCATCCCATATAAATGGCACCAACCATATTTTATTTAGGATAATGCTACTTGCACCCCAAAATTACCCCAATTTGTACCCCAATTTAAAATACCCCACCCTACCCGTGCAAGTACCCCCACACCTGCAAGTAATCCCCCCCATTTCCCCCACCTAATTCCTCTGCCCTCCTCGCCTGTCTCCCACGTTTCCTTCCATCTTCCGTTCATCCCGTTCATCGTCGACCGCCGCCGGTCGCCGGTGGTTTAGCTTCTGCCCTCCTCGCCTTTGCCCTCCTCGTCTCTGCCCTCATCGTCTCTGCCCTCATCGCCTCTGCCCTCCTTGTCTCTGCCCTCCTCGTGGTTCATCGCCGATTGTGTCCTCGTCTGGCCTCCTCGTCTTCGCCGTTACAACTTAGAAGGCATATCTACCCTCGTCTCTGCTACCGCCGGTGGTCTGCCTTGTAGGTAATTGCTTCTCCTTTTACAATTGTACATTTTTTCACAAACATTATTTACATTAGTGAAACCCTAAATGCAAAGCTATGATATTTCTCCTTGTTTGTTGCGAAATTTAGATATGCCTGGGCAATTGTTGATTCTTGTTTTAATTTAAAAATTTCTTGTAGTACTTTTTGTAACTGCCTGTGCAAAACTTACGAAACAGATTTGCACGGTCAATGCGTGCTAGGTTAAAGAACTGGTTCTTATGTGTTATGTGAATGTATTTATTTGTGTAGGTCTTCATGACTATCCATGCTAGAAACCGACATTGGGTTTTAGCAGAGCTTGATTTCCCCAATGCGACTATTTGGGTATATGATTCGTTGAAAGGTGCACAGAGCAAATCCTATGTCCGTCCAATCCTTGAAAGACTACCTCCCCTTTTTCGAACTGTCAAAACTACCGAGCAACAGAGACGTACTCAAGCATGGGCAGTGGAGCTCCCCAAGGATGTGCCCCAGCAGTCTAATGGAAATGCATGTGGCGTTATGATACTTGCATTTGCGGAGTACCTATTGGCTGGTTTGGCACTACTTCCTGACTGCACGTACGAACATGTGGACGACTTCCGTAGGCAATATGCATCACGCATATATCGGAAGACAGTGGCCTAAAGCTTGTGGAATATATATATATATATATATATATATATATATATTTTATTAACGCACAACTATGATGGCTTATCTCACCTTGCTAATATATGAAAGGCATTTTTTTAGTCTTGTACAGATTACTTTATGTATCAATATGTATTCACGCATGATCAAACATATAATTTTTTGTTTCCGGCACATGTATGACTGCTGAAGTTTTAAGTTTATTATCTCATTCAGTGTTGTTGTATTGAACAAAATCCTTATCCTAACGATATTCAATGTTGGTGGTGTTTTTTATGAAATTAAAGACACAGGCAGTTAGTGTTGGTGTATTGAAGCAAAACAATTGCACCGGATAGTTAGTGTTGGTGTATTGAAGAGAAACAATAGCACAGGGATAGTAAGTCTCTTTGTGTTGAGTAGAAACAGTAGCACACTGGCAGTAAGTGTAGGTGTATTCAACATACGGAGTAATAAAAAGACCTCCTTATGTGACTTGTTTTACAATAATTATACAAGTAGTACTGTATTTTGTTATGTTAGTATTGTATTTGAACTCCATTGAAACAAATGTTAGTATCAATTAAATATTATATCAAAGGATGAGTAGGACACAGACTATTAGTGTTGGTGTATTGAAGAGAAACAGTAGCACACGGACAGTAAGTGTAGGTGTATTGAACATAGCATGTAAAAACCCCCTTATATGACTATTTTTTTCTTAAACAAATAGGATTTTGTTATTTTAGGATTATATTTGAACACCTATTAAAACATGCTAGTATGAATTAAATATTCTATCAAAGGATGAGTATGACACAGACATTTAGTGTTGGTGTATTGAACAAAAAACAATAGCACACGGGCAGTAAGTGTTGGTGGTTTATTTAACTAAAGCAGTGCAGTACCACACATTAAGCATAGGATAACCAACTACCAGCCTGACAGTAAGTGTTGGTGTATTGATCAAAAAACAATTACATCAACATGTTAAACTGTTACATAGCAAAACTAGTATTTACATACTGTTCAACTTACCCACAAAATATGTTTATTTACATCATCTGTAAGTAGTGAATACAAAATATTACATAGTGATACTTACCAAAAAATGTGTGAGCAAATGCATTGCAAAATATTAACAAAAAAAGATGGGACATCTACAGATTCATAGCCTGAGATCAAGATTTGGGCAAGTTAGGTCATAGACACCATCTTCTCCCGGCCAATCCCACGTAGGCATATTTTCACAACCTATGTCACCAACGCTTGTAAAGAGGGTTGTGGATGGCTGTTCTGGGTTTCCCCGCTTGCTCTTGTTCACCTTACGTTGTTCACTACTTTTTTTCCTACCGTGATCATCTCGAATCTTCTTGTCTTGCTTTCTTTTCTTGTTTTTTGTCTCGAAAACAGATTTTAGCCTATTTTTCTTGGGGGCCCCTTTTTGTTTCAAATAAGTAGGGTCCAATATAGCTTTGGTGAGATTTTTGTCCAATTCCATGTTCTTGGGAATACGTTCGTCACTTGCCTTTCTCAGAGATGGGATAAGCAGTTCTTTATCGATCCAAGCCACAATATCTTTTGTGCGTTTCTCATCATCAGCTGCAATCTGGGCCAATTCTTGGAACTTTGCACAAAGCATGTCATACCTCCTTTGCTCAACTGTACAGGGCAATCCATCATAAAACTACTCCCGACATCCAAATTGTCATTGCCCTCTAAAATGCCTGCACCTAAAAAATACAACTTAAATCATGCTAACATATCGCACAGACATGTATTGATGGTGAAAGCTACAGTCTGCCACATTGCACAGATATATTTTGCTGGTGCAACACATAACTGAAAAGAGAGGATAACTGCCCAACATTTACAATCGATGTAGGTTAAACCTACATCCTACCTCATTGCACACACATAAGTTCTGGGGCAAAAACAAATACAACTAAATCCAAAGAATTATAATCCAACCTGACATTGTCCGTAGGTGATACCTACATATTGCCTTATTGCACTGACATAATTGTTGGTGCTAAACAATTAGACCTGAGGAGCAGATAATAAATGCCCAAGTATGTCAAACCTACAGCGTATGTCCTTGCACACTCCTAATTGCTGGTCCACAACTAAAAGCATATAATAAATTCCCAACAACAGCTTTCAATTTAATAAGAATCATATGTCTAATGTTATGCAGAGAATGTTTCTGAAATTCTTGCTAGTAAATTAACCAACCAACACTTCTTTAAAGTCTAAGAATCCAGGGATAAAATGTCTTTTCAATGAACCAACTCTTTCTACCTGTTTATAACTAAACTGTAACATAACACAAACATATAGTGCTAGTGCAATAATAAAAAATCACCTGCGATAATAGGAGATGTCGGCGTAGCTTCATACATTCTCCCGTAGTGAAACTTCGAATCTGAAATTTTACTTGGAAATGCATCGGCCTTGGGTCATCGTTCTTCCATTCTCGCGCCTTGGTTCTTTGCTCTTCGGGTCGCCTTTCTCCGATGATGCTACCTACTCGTCGCACTACTTCCCTTTCTCTGATGATGCTAACACGCCGATTCTGGGATTTTTTTCCGCGCGAACAGAGAAGAAAAAAGGGGGAAAAGAATGGGTGGGTGAGAGAGGAGAGAGGAGAGAGACAAAACAAACGTATGGGGTGGGATTGGGTGGGCTTTAGTGGTATGTAAGGTGGGGGTATATGGGGTACACCACTGGGGTACAAAGTGGTGTACCCATAGCACGATTGTTTTATTTACTACCAAGGGAAGAAGTTTTATGGAGCATGTTAGTGAATACTGACTTTTGTTCCAACAGTATGGACTGATCGCTGATCAAATGATGCAATGCACTGACTGCATGTTGGTGTACGTATAAATTAAACAATAGAGAAAAATATAGGTTATGTGTACCCATGTAACCATGTTCACAAACGTTCCAAATAAAACTCACAATTGTTTGTACTATATTCTCGCCGTCCTAATGTATTTATTAATTTGCATTTTTGAGTTAAATTAGACAAAATTTGATTACTCTCAATCATTTCTACTACATATATTAACATAATCAACGAAATAAAATTTGGGTAATTTACATAAATAGGACTAAAACATAATGACTTTCCCAATATAAGACCATATGTTTTTATTTTCCAATGTAGGACCTTTGGTCATTATCAAGTAGTCATTATTCAACTAAATGTTCATCATTACTGGACATTATTTCTTCCACTAGGTCATTATTAAGTCCTATTTAAGAAATAAAAAAGTTTAAGTCCTACATTTGGAAAGTCATTATGTTTTAGTCCTATTTAGTGCAAATTTCATTAAAATTTAAAAGACGGTAATAAGGTAACTCTAATTTAGTCATTTTTATACTAATATATACTATTATAGTCTTTTGTAATTGAAATCCAAATTTCATCCAGTTTGACTCGAAAAAGTTAAGCTCGATAAATACACTGGGATGAATATAGTATTTTGATACTTTCCACATTTATAATCAATTTTTAAGTTATTGTTATATAACTTTTATATATATATATATATATATATATATACACACACACATATACATATACATATACATATATTTATATATATATATATATATATATATATATATATATATATGTATGTATGTATTTATGTATGTCTATGTGTGTGTATGTATGTATGTTATATGTAAAATTAATCTTCTTGATTGAGTTTGGCACAAATTTTAAAAAATAAAATTGAATGGTTGAAAAAAAATGTAGAAGGGAGATAAAGAAAGTGAACCACAAAAGCGTCTCCAAAAAAAAAGGAAACATGCAGATTTTGTTGAGACGACGTGAAAAGAAAAACAAAAAATTAATTTGAAATGGAAGGAGTAGTATATATGTAAGACATGTAAATAAGTCTTAACAACAACTTTAGTACAGAGCTTGTGTGTACTTGGGATTTTTTTCTAAAATTATGATGGGGATACACCAAGAAATGTACCTCAAATTGTATCCAAAGAGATATACTAGGATTATCACAGTTCACACTGGCCTCCGCCTCGCTGCCGCCTGCCGCCGCCGCCGCACCGCCGTCCTCTGCCGCTGGCAGCCGCAGCCAAACGCCACCTGCCGCCGCTGCTCCGCCGCTAGCGGTCGCTGGACAACGCTGCTGACCTGTGGTTGACAGGTGTTGCTATTTTATTTTTAATTAATTTTTTAATTTTTAAAATTTTTAAAAATGGTGAGTTTTGGTGTTCAAAGTGGTCAATTTTGCTTTATTTTCAGGTGAGCTTTGCATTGGTCATTAGTGAGCTTTGCTGTGTAATGTGGTAAGCTTGACGTCATCTTATCAAAAAGTGTCATTAATATATATATATATATATATATATATATATATATATATATATATATATATATATATATAGATACACACACACACACACACACACACACACACATATATATATATATATATGGGATTGACTGCAGTCAGATGACACCTTATGGTAAGATGACATGCTAAAGTTAGATGACGCAAAACTCACCACTGATCACTGCAAAGCTTATCAAGGACAAATGCGAAGCTCACCAAATTGTATTGAAAAAGTTCACCATGATTTTTTCACACTTTGAATTTTAAAATTTTAAAGTTTAAATCCTTACAAACCATAACCAAAAAGCTCACCTTTCTTCAATGCAAACCTCACCGAAACATACACACAAAGCTCCCCAAATTTTTAGGTTGAAAAATTAAAAAAAAATCAAAGGGTGATGACTTCGACCCCCATTGACCGGTGATCGGCGGCGGTGACCAGCAGAGGCAAGGGTGGTCAATGCGGCGATCAACGGTCAAATTCAGTGGTCGACATGGGTCAAAGTCAGCACTTAGATTTTTTTTTGACATGGGTCAAAGTCAGCACCTCTTAAAAAAAATTCAAAAAAAAATCTAAGTGTGAAAAAAATTGGTGGCAGCTCGGCGGCGGTTGTCAGTCAAAGGTGGTGTTCAACAATCAAAATCTAGTCAGCACCCCTTGCTTTGATTTTATTTTTTTTCATAAAAAATTCAAAGTGTTGAAAACATATGGACATCTGCCCCTTATTAAGATAATGAGCCATGAACTATCTTAGGGTGACATAGGGGTTGACTCATGTAATTATAAATACACCTCCGATATGTGGGAGGAAGGGATCCATTTTTTTTGGGGCTAACAATCTTAGTAATTTGTTAGACAATTCAAATTGTTAAAAAGCAACCCCTACAAATAGTGGCTAGCCCTTTGTGATTCTTCAAGGTTTATCACATCACGTTAACGCCCTCTTGCCTTCTCGAGGTCAGGAAGATCTGCAATGATAAAACACAAAATTAAAGAATCAGAAGCAGAAACTGATGGAACATCTCCAATGGCATTTCTCTCTAGATTGAATAGATTGGTTTATCGTTTCTTTGTTCTTTCTAAGGGCAATTGGACATTATGGGTAGGAGTAAACAAGTTGACATTTTGATAAGTAACTCATGCAAACAAGAAATTGTATGAATATCATTACAGTATTGTCGCAATTACCAGTTTTCTGGCATGTGTGGGTTTATATTATATTCTTAAGTAGAAACATTTCAACCTCCCTTTGCCTGGTATAGTTTTATACGTATTATATTTCAAACTACGTGTCTGTGTCCAAGAAGAATAAGGGTTTGGACTTGGAAGATCAATATTGTGGAACCAATGTGTATATTACATGCATTAAGTTCTTTTACTTACAAAGCATTCCTCCATCATCACTGTTTTCATCTTCGCCGGTATACTGCAAGCACATACCACTCATCGTGTTAACCAACTAATAAAAAGTATTTGTCTATTTATGTTGAGTAAAGAACAGAGCAGTAAGGGCTGAAGTTACCGCAAAATTATCATCAAACTCTGCATCAGCTGCATGTGCCAAAAAACCATTGTTAGGCTTAGATGTACAAATCCTAACCCAGAAAAAGTAAAGAACTTGTACTGACGTCATCTAAGATGGAAGAAATTAAACTGAGGAAACAGAGTTGGATCTCAAGGATACGGTGATAATGTATCAACCCTTCAGGGAAAAAGTTTATGTTCGTGTTCATTATGTAAATTCGGGTTCTTGGTTTGTTTTACTAATCACATCTAGCATTCTCAACGTAAATCACCCAGACCAAATGACTTGACCCGGTCACCCGATCCAGGGGTCGCCTAGGTCACTCATGTCGTAAGCCTGAACCAACAGCAACATGCCTAGGGCACAGGTACAGCTTAGGTACAAGAACACTCAGGTGGTTAGTATAGAGCTGTCATTTGCCCCTATAAATACTTGGAGCATCTAGTTGCCAACTGGAATTTTATGATCACTAACTTTTTCTTCCAGTGAGAAGACCACTTAATGTCACGTGGGGAGCTCTCAGCAATGTCTGACCAGTTCAATAGACCGGTCCACCGATTAATCAAATGCATCAGCTATGATTTAGGTCTGAAATGCATTATGAGTCCCCAAGAGAGGTCAAGCGATAAATCCCGAGCAGCAACATAATGCAAGAGCAAGAAGATTAGAAGATAATTTGTAATACATGTTACACCTCCTATTTCAACATGAGGGCCTATACAAAATACAATTGTATGTTTGTACATGCGTATCTCCACCCAAAATTAGTATTGGATGCCAGTGTACAACAGCCTTCTTAATTTATGCTCTGCAGGCCCCATTCCCAAAACTTGATAACATCTATACCCATGACATAAGAAAAATCACTCATGAAAATGCTAATAAATTTCCTCTTAACGCATAACTTCTGCAGTCTGAGCACGAACCGGGGTTTTTAGTCCTTGCTTAAATTCCATCCAAACGAAAACACATGGGACTTCAAAGCATAGAAGAATATGGAACTCTAAGAAGCAACTAACTCCCTCTCTATATGACATTCGTTCTAATAAACTACATAGGGACCAGATTGTGCGTTTTCCAAGAACGATTGGCAGTGTAATCCCTTGTGCCATTAATAACCAACCAAAATACTAAAACAAAATTGTTTATCACACTCAACTTTAACAAACTTGAAGAGCAGTGTAAGAGATGTAAACATGAAAAGTGTCCAGTAATCTTAAAAGATTTTTTTAAAGTAAAAACCATGGGATCAAAACTTACAAGACTCTTCATCATCTTCGTCACACCACTTGTTCCAATCAACCTTAATATAAGGGGGAGGCTTTTGATCAGACTTCAATAACCTTGGCCACCAAGACTTCTGCTCCTTCTGAATTGAGCATAGAATGTTCCTCGAACCAAATTTCGTCTTGCAATCCTGGAAGAGGCATCAGTACAGATGGATAATGAAAGGGAGAATAAATAGTCTCAACATGTTGAATACTTGAAGGGAAGGAATCCTGATGAA